GCTGATACCGCTCGCCGGCAGTCTGAAACGCAAAAGCGAAACGTGACGTCACTTATACACCAAGCGTATACAGCATATTAGAAAAAATAGGTGAAACGCGCGGTAATTATGCGCATCGGGGCTATCATTGCGCCGTGCTTTCTGTCTTTATTAAAGAGCGCTGGCTTTCTTTCGCGCATGGATTTTCGCGCATTCTCGAAATCTCGCGCCATTCGCCGCCAGACAAAAAAAAAATCAAGTTTCTTTTCATTAAACTTTATAATTTAACAAATAATAATAAGAAATGTGTACGTGTATGTGTGTACGTGTGTAAGTATGATGTATATAATTATTATGGAAAGATTACACACATAAAGAGCATTAAACATATAATCATAATAATAAGATAAGAGAGATTTTATAATTTAGTAAATAGTAATTAAGCTTTGATAATAATACCAGAGGGGTAATAATAATAATACTCTTTAAAAAAATATATAACTGGACTCAAAAGAAATTTTTTAAGCGAAAGATTTGCCCGATCAAACTATATGTATCCGTTCAAGAGATCAACAGGTCGGCGAAGATTGTGACTTGCGCTTTTGATCTAACGAATTAATCTAGATACTTACATGTGCTATACTGGCCGCCTCTGTCGAGGTTGCCGAGGCCAGTTGGTTCCGATTCTCTATCACCGTCTTGATTTGTTCGAGTACCTAGGAACAAATCACGTATAAGCGGTCAATAGTTATACATGTGTTATTATACGCGACTGTCATTTGCCAAAATTATTATTTAATATGAAAATGTAATTCGAGAAAAGTGCGGGACTTTCCTTTTTTTCTTTTGTTATCTTTTTGATGACATTTAAAAGGAAAGTGTCCGCCGTATTAAAGAATGGAAATTTTCTTTTTAGTGTATATATGTTTAGCATACGTATAAAACACGGCATATTTTAATGCTCTATCCAAGGCAGAAAAATAAGTTTCCGACAAAAAAAAAATACGACGATAAAGATTGTCACGCGTCCCGCGTGAAATGTTTATCGTTAAAAGCGTCGAGAGCAATCGTGAATTTTACGAGCGTCGATTTACGAGCTTTAAAAGTATGTTAAAAGCTTTCGCGAATTTACCCGCAGGGATATCCGGTGCCTTTGTGCGGCGTGATGATTGTACTCCTTGTGCTCGATGATCTCGTTACTCTTCCTAGTCTGCCTCCGCTGGGAAAAGACGAAAGAAAACATTCGTGAAATGAAATCGAGTCCTCTCGTGAGTTTTGCGCGCCAGGATTTTCCACGAACGTGAAAACTATTCGAGAAGACTTTCCTCACAAGTATCAGGACGGAACGCGCTCCTCTCATTTTTTTCTCTCGAAAATGAAGAAAGGATCGTCCTACATTTCGTGGCATTCCGATATCAGTTATCCGATAATTATCGAACCCAATAATTACAGGCGTTGAGACGTATTTGAGATATAATTATCGCCAATAATAATCGAGAAACATAAGATATATAATTTGCCAGAGTAGAAATTTCGAATACGCGAAATAAAATTTATCATATAAATAACACTTTACAGAATCGCGAATTAATACTTGTATCACAAAGATATATATGAGATAAATTGTAATCATCATCAAGGCATGAAATATAATTTGCCGGTATATAAACTTGAAGAATACTAGAATAGTATTACATTCTATTCCAAATATTAATATTTTAAAGTAACTGTTATATGATAAATGACATGTGCTACATCGAGCATATATACAATAAAAAGGGAAGATAATAATAGCCATTCACGGGAAAGAAATATCAATGGAGGAAAGTAACGGTATATCCAACGAGAGAAAGAAAAAGAAAGTAATTCGCACGCTCGTTCGAGGAAATGCAAAACGCTGAGTTAATTAGCCTCGTTCGTCAATTACATCTCTCTGCGGCGCACCGTCATTTTTATGCAACTCCGTGATAACTCTAGTAATTGATCTACCCATATGCAAACGCGTGTGCGTGTGTGTGTGTGTGTGTGTGCGCGCGCGCTTGAAAAATCAGAAAACAAGTCACGCGTCAATCCTGGACATGTGTAATCGCGTAACTCGATTCACGCGTGCTTAGAATGCTGTGCGACTCTCCCGAGATGTCAGCGAGATGAGACGAGAGAGAAGCATCGCTGTTTTTGCAGCCGTTTACGCTTCACGCAGTAGCGAGCACGACGACTCGCGAATCTCCGTATACATGGCTCATGTATATAATTCGCGGATATGTAAATGATACTAGAAAATATATACTCATGCACTTGCATCACAATTAACGAGCTCTTAAAGATTATTCAAATGTTGCCGCGCGAGTTTCACTGGCTGGTAGAAAGGAAAACTTTACGAGTCTCTCGAGGAGTGTATTTTTTATGAATGACATTAATATTGGATTATATGCGAAATAATCCGGCCAATCGATCTATTAATCGCTCTATTAATTCGCTTTAATTTTTTATAATGATTGTGAAAAATCTATGATTGGCTATATTGGTATATAAATGACGTAAACTTAAAAATTTATTTAAAAACTTGAAAAATGATAACATCTTTTTTCTCCTTGCCTTAATTTTGCGAAATCTTAAACAATTTTATTTTTGTATCTTTCTAAAAGATATCTGGGTGTTTCAAATTTCGATTTAAATAATCTATCCTGTCTCTGTGACATGTACCGGTCCCTTGAGAAATACGCTCTAAAAGCAGCTCGAACATTTTACAGAACATCTGTGACATCTGAATACGAGAATAAAATACTGACCTCGAGCGTCGTCAAGCTGGCCAGCGAGGAGAGAGGCCGAGTATGAGGGACTTCCCCCGGGAAAACGCTATCATGCGACACTGATAACTTGCCGGCACCTGCTCGTAACTTGACGAGATTATCCTGCACTCCTCCTCTCCGGAGGAATACGCTAAAAGTTCAATGAATATATATACAAAAAAGTTTTATTTCTTATAAAAATAAAAATTATTATTATGAATTAAATTACTGAAATTTGCGCAACATCTATAATAGAAACATATAAACAATGTATATAAATATTCCAAATTTAATATAATTATATAATTATAATGTAAAATCTCAATGAAAAGTACTAACATAAAAATACTGATGAAGAAGGCATAACATAATCAAAATCATAATATATTCCATATCTCTCTATATGTATATATAGTAAAAATTTACTCTACATTTATCGGAAAGAAACCGAGAGAAAAAGCGTACGCAGGCATGACGTTTAGCATAAAGTTTATTCGTTGCCGTAAATACTTGCAATCAAAGCGATGAATGATTTGTCAGGAATAACACGCGTCAGCGATGACAGATAATTATACAATTATCATCTTTGTGTGAAGTTCTATATGCAAAGATATATCATTTGAGCAATAGCAAACCGCATCGTCATTGAATAGTATTCAGATACATTATATATCACACAACGGAAATTATACAATCGCGCGTAAGACGCCCTTTCGTATTAATACTACGTAAACTACAGATACTACTAGGCTAACAATAACAATAAAAACTGAACGAAAAAACGAGGTCACAAATTGTAAATTAATAATGAGAACCGAATGGTACAATTTAATTTGTATTCCGAAAAAAATATAAAATTATCAAATGTATATAAGATATTTAATCGGCTATCGACGGTTATTTTAAAGCCTATGGAGCGAATTACAATCATTTTGATTTCATTTGAAAGATAATTTAATTCCATGTTAAATTTTAAAGGTTTAGATTTAAAAAAAAAATAATAAAACTAAATTTTGTAAAAGGGTTATTAAAAAGTTAGATTTTTAGATTTATATGTATATGTATATACGGAAAGAAAAGTTAAAAAAATTGGAAAATGTCCGTGAAAAAAAGCGCGCGCCTGTGTTGTTCTAGTATCATAAATAATAACGATAATTATTATCAACAGAAACATCATATTATCTACATCTCAATTTTAATTAATGTAAGTTTTAATGCTATTAGATGTGTGTATATAAGATTATGGAGTCTAAACTATTGTTAGTTTAATTTTCAAACTTGAACAAAGACAATGTTGCCACTCTCTATAGTTCTTCGATTTTAAATCGTTTTACAACTGAGGCATTATAAGCTGATTAACTGATAATTAATTACTATCAGCAGTTTGTTGGTACAGTTATTATCTATGTTTGTCAAATTATTTTCGAAGATGATAATTAAGATTTTATCCAAAATTAAAGCGATTGCTCAATGATCCACTAATGCCAAAATACATATTGTGATATTTACTGTTTAAACAATCGGCGAGTTTTGATAAACGTGATAAAACTGGGTCTTTTTGACGATCGGATATATCGTCTACTGAAAAGATAACACAAATTTCGCATTGTCGCATACATTGACATTTCGATAAATATAGTATTCGAAGGACGTGATACCACGTAATATTGATGTACACATATTGGCAATCTAGGGTTAAATACGTTCTAAGCAACTACTGCTGAGATTGAAGGAAGATTGATGTTTTCTACCTTTCTCGGTCGCAAGCGTCGGTGAGAAGCTCGCTGGCGCTTCTGCTGCGAGCCTCCTCGGGGCGTCCCGCAGGATGCCTCATCGTGATCTCCTCCCGCGGGAGATGTGCCAATTCAGCATCTCGATCGCCTGAATTGGAAACGAGACGCGCATCAGCAGCACCGCGGCTTTTCCGCCGGAAAATCTTCCGGAGACCGCGTAGGGGATGAAAACGGCGTTTCTTTGGTTCTGCAAGCAGAAGACATTCGCAAAGGAAAATTACGTAACTTAATATATATTCGCGCAATTATGATATAAATTAAAAATACAATCTTATTACGATTGTAGAAATATATTTGAAATAAAATGTGCAAATAAAATAATGTAACAGTTATAAAAAGTAAATAATTTATATCTTTATCTGCATTATTATTATTATTATCAAGATTGACAATTTTATAAGATAAGCAGCAGCGACCAACCAATATTTACCGAGAAAGTCTTCGAGCGACTCGAGAGAAGGCATCCTTTCACTGATATGCCTATAATTGGAATTCACATATTCCGTTTACACTATACACACGACTGACCTTACGGATTCAATAACGCACGATATACACGGGAACGGTGTCAGGACGTGATAAGATTAGAAATTCAGTCCCCGATAACTCTATCGGCCGACATATCACGAGCTGGGAGAGCCTCTCCTTATAAGGTATCGGCCTAGCGTCGCGCCAGTATTCGATCTCTCTCTTTAATGACTCTCTCCTACATTCCCCTCTACCTCCTCTTCTGACCCGTCCCCATCCTCCTCTCTTACGAGCAGACTAACTTTATCACTTGACATGACACATCCGCCGATATTTCTCGAGAGAACCACGCGACGTCTTTGATGTTAATGTGCACGGAAAGGGACTCTTTAGCAGGTACATGGGTCTCTCTCGACTCTCTCGACGAGATACGTAACAAGTCAGAAAACTAAATGTGATCGTCGTTGAAAAATACCTGTGCCGCATTATGCGGTAAATCAGCAGAGTAAATGAATAAAAAATGCTCAAAGTAAAATACGCAATTACAGTGAACCTAAATAATTAAATGCGTGATAAATACTGATATAGAGAAATAATGGAATCGAGGAACTAATATAAAGGGAAATAAGAAATGATGAAACAATTAATAAAATTTAAAAAAAAGTAAAGATGCAAAAATTACCGTCTTGCGAAATTATCAAGATAATTGTACAAAAATATGGCCCATGATGTTTCAATAAATGTTATGATAGTAACGTAAACGACCGTATTTTTAATGTGTATTTATGATATACTATCTCTTCTTATGTAATATAAATATTTGTTGACTTTCAAAGAAAGAGAGAAGCAAATAAATCCTAAACACATTAATTAATTTTATACGCTATATATTATAATATAATAATTATATGATTAAAAAAAAAACAATTAATATTATTTAATATTTAAAATCAATCTACGTACATTTCTTCATCAAATATCGGCTTTAACGAGACAAGAGGGGAGAAGAATAAACGCTTGATCGGAAGTGATCTTTACTGTGTACTTGACACTTTCTATGCGAGTGCATTTTACACGCTTCAACGACAGCTTTGGCATCGGTGAAGCGCGAAAAATAATGTTACGGTCGAGTCGCTCGCTCACGGCTGCCTGTCGCACATAACGAGAACATCTGTTTGTCTGATATGGAGGATTAATGCAGCATGCCTCGAAGATATTCCTGTCATCAGTCGCAGAAACTAGTACACGTAGAGAAACAATAGATTCTCATAGAAAAAACATTAATTAAGAGATAAAAATTAGAATTTTTTACACGTTGTTATAAATATGTTATATAGTAGTCGAATTACACAAAGCGTTAAAAAATTTTAAAAATTGTCGAATTACAAATTTTGATTTGATCAGATTTTCATATAATTAATCCTCAGAATTTAATATGGATTCTGATTAAAAGCAGCTCTAGTGAAATATATTTTAGATACTAAAAAAAAAAAAACTCTGTTTTAATTGGAATTCACATATTCCGTTTACACTATACACACGACTGACCTTACGGATTCAATAACGCACGATATACGCGGGAACGGTGTCAGGACGTGATAAGATTAGAAATTCAGTCCCCGATAACTCTATCGGCCGACATATCACGAGCTGGGAGAGCCTCTCCTTATAAGGTATCGGCCTAGCGTCGCGCCAGTATTCGATCTCTCTCTTTAATGACTCTCTCCTACATTCCCCTCTACCTCCTCTTCTGACCCGTCCCCATCCTCCTCTCTTACGAGCAGACTAACTTTATCACTTGACATGACACATCCGCCGATATTTCTCGAGAGAACCACGCGACGTCTTTGATGTTAATGTGCACGGAAAGGGACTCTTTAGCAGGTACATGGGTCTCTCTCGACTCTCTCGACGAGATACGTAACAAGTCAGAAAACTAAATGTGATCGTCGTTGAAAAATACCTGTGCCGCATTATGCGGTAAATCAGCAGAGTAAATGAATAAAAAATGCTCAAAGTAAAATACGCAATTACAGTGAACCTAAATAATTAAATGCGTGATAAATACTGATATAGAGAAATAATGGAATCGAGGAACTAATATAAAGGGAAATAAGAAATGATGAAACAATTAATAAAATTTAAAAAAAAGTAAAGATGCAAAAATTACCGTCTTGCGAAATTATCAAGATAATTGTACAAAAATATGGCCCATGATGTTTCAATAAATGTTATGATAGTAACGTAAACGACCGTATTTTTAATGTGTATTTATGATATACTATCTCTTCTTATGTAATATAAATATTTGTTGACTTTCAAAGAAAGAGAGAAGCAAATAAATCCTAAACACATTAATTAATTTTATACGCTATATATTATAATATAATAATTATATGATTAAAAAAAAAACAATTAATATTATTTAATATTTAAAATCAATCTACGTACATTTCTTCATCAAATATCGGCTTTAACGAGACAAGAGGGGAGAAGAATAAACGCTTGATCGGAAGTGATCTTTACTGTGTACTTGACACTTTCTATGCGAGTGCATTTTACACGCTTCAACGACAGCTTTGGCATCGGTGAAGCGCGAAAAATAATGTTACGGTCGAGTCGCTCGCTCACGGCTGCCTGTCGCACATAACGAGAACATCTGTTTGTCTGATATGGAGGATTAATGCAGCATGCCTCGAAGATATTCCTGTCATCAGTCGCAGAAACTAGTACACGTAGAGAAACAATAGATTCTCATAGAAAAAACATTAATTAAGAGATAAAAATTAGAATTTTTTACACGTTGTTATAAATATGTTATATAGTAGTCGAATTACACAAAGCGTTAAAAAATTTTAAAAATTGTCGAATTACAAATTTTGATTTGATCAGATTTTCATATAATTAATCCTCAGAATTTAATATGGATTCTGATTAAAAGCAGCTCTAGTGAAATATATTTTAGATACTAAAAAAAAAACTCTGTTTTTCTTATTAATATATCCGTTAAATTTTTCTCTAAAATTTAGATTAATATTTAATATGCAAGAACGGAAATTAAATTTTTACAAGAGAAATTCAAGTTTGAATTCGCTCAAAAGTTAATGCATCAACTACAAAAAGATTTCGGTCAAGACAAACATTAATTGATTGAGAATTCATGAAATTTCTCTCCGTTCTTCACGTCCTTGATTAAGAAATTAGCTCCCAAGTTAATTTCCCCGGTTCTTCGGAGCTTAGCAATTCAACGGGAATTAATCAAATGACAGAGGTCTGATCCGGAAATTCATTCGTAATGACACATAACCGCGGCCGTGTTCTTTCGAACAATAGTACCGAGCACCTGCTATAAAAAAAAAAGAAATCATATAATTCGCCGCGTGTCACGATCATAACTACCGTCGTTGTTTTAATCTTTGTCCGGTCTTAATTAAACATACGCGTTTCTTACTACCGTTAACGACGTCCTCGATTTACCATCCTTGCTCGAGATGCGGAGAAGACGTCCTCGTATTCGTATAATATTACGAGTTGCAGACGTTACCGTAATGTAACGCCAACTTGCCAAACTACTCAATCAAAATTAATAATGTCTTCCAGAGGTAAATCAATTCTCTTTAATCTTTATAGTAAACACATAAAATATAAATAAAATATATATTCAATAACGTATAAACAAATAGTAAAACTGTAATTATATATATAAGAGAGAATATTATTCAACATTAAAGAAACAATTTTTCATTTTCAACTGTTACGGATTTTTATAGAAAATCGTTTAAACTCCGCGCGAAAAACGCGGAAAAATTCGAGAAATCCGTACGTTTCATCATATGCCTCGTTTATTCGCGATTTATTCAAATACACGCCTCGAAAATATCGTGTGATCTCAAATGAGCGTGACGCCAAGAATCCGATTCTCAAGAAGGAAAAGCAGTTTTTCCAGCAATGCGTCTAGACTGTCGCCGCAAGCGTCGTATTTCTACTATCTTCTGGAATTCAACATAAAGCAATTTCCTGGGAAATTCTTTCGACTTGAACAATGCGACGGATGGCCGGAAAAAAATGCTCGGTAATCATTGAAACTTTTTAACTCGCTATTATATTATTAAAAAAAAACAATGTTAATATATATCAATCTTTTACGAAATTAAAAATCATAAAGAAATAAAAACAATATTAAAGACGGCTCGGGATTTTTTTCTACTTTTTTAATATTATTATAATTATATAAGAAAATTACGTAATATGTATTATGTAATTATATGTAATTACATATTATAAAGTATGATATATTTATTATACTTATTCTATAATTAAATTGATAATTCCTAAAACTTTCTCCAGAATACTTTCCAGCATAAATACGTGACGTTAAAGTATGCTAAGAGTTCTCAAGTAATTAAGTACTGACCTTTGGGTACAGGGTCGATGCTGTGCTGAACTGCCGGGAACTCGCCGAGACCGAAAGCGCGATGCTGCTGCTGCTGCTGCTGATGGTGATGATGATGATAATGATGGTGCGGGTGATGATTCTGAGGGGGCGGCGAGGCCTCCCTCACGCAACCCATCAGGCTGAGGGCACCGCCGACACCTCCGCCGCCGCCACCGCCGCCACCCGGGGCGGTGCTCGTCGACATCGTCCTATTGTTCTGAAACACCCCGAAGAACCAGGCTGCAACGTAGGACTCTCTCACGCGCTGGTACCATGCCGAAAAAAACCAGCTCTCCGATCTTTTCCAGCTCTTCCAGCCGTCCATCTTTCCTCGAGAGATCTCGTCTCGCGGACGTAAATAGATGGGTAAGCAGGTATTGAACGCGCGAAGAAAAAAAAATATTTATAGCTTTCTCAGTTCTTCTGCCACTTCTTTTGCGTGCGAATGGAATTGTGAACGGAGGCGCGGTCTTGATGCGACCAGGTCGACACAATTCGAGGGGATATTGATTTTGTATCAGCTGACTTTACTTTCGTCTCTCGCAGCGACCTTGCGCAACTTAATTCGATGTGAATGATACCCCGCGCGTACTATAATTTATTTCTGCAACGATTGAATGTGTGTATGTGTATGTATGTGTATGTGTGTCTAAAGAAAAGCGATAGATCGATTTTAATAATTTTTCAATGTGAGAAGACACACGCGAAGATAACTTGTCATTTTGAGAGAATTCTAAACACGCAAAATAGTTATAGATAATTATTATATTTTTACATTTAATTTTATTCGTAGGAATCGCACAATTATTTATTATTATTATTTGACTCTGTTAAACAACATTATAATTAATCCTTGATTAATTCACCGATTAATATATCTATTAATTGTTTGTGTTCACCGATTAATATATCTATCATCACATAAAATATAACGAGATCAAAGAAAACACAGAAAATATCACCTCGGCACCATTATTCGCGTGCACTTTTCGCAGAAATTAAGTTCGCGCATCCGAGTTTTTTTTTTTTATTTATTTTTTTCTAAAACGGATCACGCGTTAAGACACGAAACGAGTACGCGGAAGGAATTCCTACTGCGGAATGTCGCCTTTAACGAATCGTAGACGGGAAGAAGAACGAGAAGACGCGGAATGCATCAAACGCACCGCCGCCTTCTGTCACCTTTCTCTCTCACACTTTCTTTCTCTCTCTCTCTCTTTCTCTCCCTCTCTCTCTCTCACACGTCCAACCGGAGGGATTGATACTCAATCCCCGGTCTCTCTTCGTATGTCGACGGGCTACCGTCCGCCTCGCTCTTCTAGGCAATGGGGGTCAGGAGAGACGGTCGCCATGGTAACTGCATCCGGCGAGGGGCTACGGTGGCGACGTTGCATCGATTGCACCCTCTCGAGCGCGCGCGCGCGCGCGCGCCCGACCCTGACCTTCGCACAGCTGACGACGACGATGGGCCGGGAGAACGTAGGGAAGCCCGCCGAGAATTAGCGCTGCCGGTTCTTATTAAGGTGACGTCGTCGGATAACGCGACGCTAAAGTACGTCGTATAAAATAAAGTGCGATCATCGTCGAAAATATGCGCGTCAAATAATTATAAAATTCACTCCGGGTTTTTTTTTTTTTTTGTTTTATCTTTAATTTTTGAGAAATTTATAAAACAAGAGCTCTGACATAGAACTTTTCAAAAATACTGTGCGTCGTAAAAAAGTTTGGTAACTCGAAAATCGCAATAAATTTATTAAGTAGTAATTATTTCTTCGATTACTTTTTATTATATAAATAATAATTATTGTTTGTACTAAATTATTAATAATCTTATATACTTTTGTAATCAATTGAAGAATCGCGCATAAAAGGGCATCGACATCGTTTTTTAACATTCCATTAATTTATTACATCAATCATAATCAAAAGTATAATTATTTTCTGATTAATGACTGAAATGTTAAATTAATTATGACCGATATAATTATTTCCGCCCCGCTTATTTTCTTTATTAATCATGATTATTGATTACTCAAAAACTGCAAACAGAGATTGCTAATTTGATACATAGTAATCATTGATTTAATTATATTTCGCTCGACTCTGATTGATAATAATGCAAAGATTAATAAAAATTCCAATTCTGAGTTTTATTTTTTTACGTGATATAAAAATATATAACATTTTATATTTTTTTTGGGCGCTAAATCTATATGAAAATCAGTAAATATCGAATTATCGTAATTTTGGAAAACAATCATCTTCCGCGTGAATGACAGTTGTGAGAAATCGATCGCGTCATTCGTGAAATAGTATTATCATAAAAGCAGACGCGTCCTTGACACAGCTACTCTTGCAGGATGACACGCGCTTACTCGGAATTAATATTGAAGCTTGTGCATTTAAGAAGTCGCGCGTGCGATTGTCAGCTCGAGAATGCAGTCGGCATAATTTTCTGCTAACTCTGGGAGATATCATTGAGACTTTGATACGAAAATTTATATGTTTAGAAATATATGATAAATCGGACCGGATATGCGCGCTCAATTCAACGATCTTAAATCAGTTCCGGAACAAGATAATAGACTTATTAATACACATCATATCCATTTTTTTACATTAATGTATCGATAATTCGTTTAACTTATTTCCTAAGTTAATTCGTTTTATCGAGAACTAGATTTGTTAACAAGTATTATGTATTCGAATTGTGTGTGTATCTAGTATGACAGATTAAATATCTTAATAAGTATTATATACGTTATATAAAATTGTTATCAAAATTATATATTCTGTTAAAACCGTTAATAATTGTAAATTATTCATAATTATAAAAACAATTATTTTAGAATATTTATAAGATAATGATTTTAGATGAGAGAAAGATTAAAGAAAATATATTTTATTTAGAACCACGAGAGAGATATGAAGGAGTAATATAATTATTGTTTAAGTGTTTTAAAGCGTAGTTGGAAAATCTATATCTTCATAACTGAGGCAATAACCACATCCATTGTAGGTTCGTAAATATAAAAATGCATTTTCACGTTCGAGGAATGTAAGTTCGGCTGGAATTGCTGTACAAGTTCGGACAGCACGCATTCTGGAATGTACGCAGAAGCCGCCAAACGGCCGCGCACAATTTTCCATTCGATACGTGGAGTAATTACGCGCTTCCGGTTTCCCGGAACAATTACAGTCGAGCGACCATCCGCGACGACGAGCCATCGATTCTCTCCCTCTTTCATCGCGATGAAATGCGAAATAATGTCGGTCTTGTGGCACAATGCATTTCGGAGAATAATGCGAACTTTTTTTACAAGAGACAGCTTTTTAACTGCCGTACACTTTTGTTTTCGTACTCGGAAAAATATTGTCAGTTTCTTTCTTTATATTCTCGGCCATAAATCTCGCTTGATGGTCGCCCGATAAATCGTCAAATGATTATGTCAGACAATAATAATTATTACGACAATTTGAAATATTATTTCTGATAAAGATATGTTTCTTTACCAAGTTCTAAAGTATAAATTTATGAATTAATTGTAAGATAAATTATCGCAAAAATTACACATCCAGCAAATTAGTTTTTTAAAAATCGGATAATATTGTTTGTTAAAATAATAGTATATAATGATAATAAAATAATGATATAAAACATGTGCGTAAAAATTAATTTTAACAAAATTAAAATTAATTATTTCTTCGAAAAACAAATATATTCATAAATTCTCAAAGTCACAATAAAAATTAGAAACTAAAAAAGCTAGATATTTTTAATTTTTTCATTGTCTTCTTGTTCTGTTTGAATAAAGAGAAATACGTCAACTGATAATAAAAGATGTCCATATCTTACCTTACAGAAAAAACGGCATGTCAGTTGTGGTTTTCGTATACACGTGCGGCGAATGTCTGTAACAAAAGAACGATATCTGTTAAAATCGAAAGAACGCAGGCGAGAAATAACAAAGAGATAAGTACATAGAAACGATGCAAGTGTCGAGGTCACGGCAGGTCGACGAATAATACCCTACTTGCGTACCGATCGTGCCTCGTGCAAACTTTACTCTATTCGCCTATTCGTTCCGCGAATCCCGTCTGATTTATGCAACATCGATACGCGCAACAGAGAACTTTTCTCAGAATTTATACCCAGCTTAAATCTCAAAAGTGCCAATTCAAAGCCGCTCGATTCAAATACGCTAAATCGATCGCAGGTCTCCATTCAAAGCGGCTATAAAGTCTTCTATGTATATGCCGTTCTCGTTTGAGATTTACAAACAAAATGCCAAACATGAAATCTTAAAATTAAATAATTGTAGAAGACATATATTTTTGGCTCGTTTTTTTATTTATTTATCAATATTTTTATTTCTTTTATTTCTTAATTAATATGGGCTTTAATGTAATGAGACTGTGTAAGAGAGTGTGTGGTTTTAAAAAATAA